ATCTGTACATTGGGAAACTCAGTCTGTAAGATACCTGAATACACTTCGTTTTTTTTGTTTTTTTAAAGATTTTATTTATTTATTTATTTAAAGAGATAGAGGGAGAGAGAGAGCGCACGTAGGCAGAGTGGCAGGCAGAGGGAAGGGGAGAAGCCGGCTCTCTGCTGAACAGGGAGCCGGATGTGGAGCTCGATCCCAGGATCCTGGGATCATGATCAGAGCCTAAGGCAGCTGCTTAACCGACTGACCCACCCAGGTGCCCCAGATACCTGAATATACTTTGATCTAGAATTATATGCTACTTGAGATTCGTACACAGATTAAAAGAAACAGGTTGTGGATTGCATGCTATGGGAGACAGTTGGGTAAATTACCTCATGATGATGTTTCTCTACCAAATACAGATTCTGTAAAGTGTAAAAATATAAGAAGGTCAAAGGGGATTTAACTGTTGTTTCTTATTCTTTACTTTTTTGAATATAGGAAAAATCCATTTCTCTAATTTAATTTTAGGCATTTGAATGTTTTAGTTACATAAGTAATACTTGAATGAGGGGATCTAAATCATCTAAAGTAAAAATTATTAGTCTCCATGGAAAAAAGCCCACATACCTGAAAGCCCTTACTAAGAATTTTGTTTTATTCCACAGTTGTTTTTTGTTTTTGTTTTCTATTTGCTCATTCAGGTACATATGTACTTATGTAGGGATTGATTTGTTTTTCTTTCAAATAAAGAATTACATTAGATAGTTTATCTTTTATCTTTTGATCTCCTATATTCATTTTACCTGACACCCTTCTTACATATGTATGTATTGACTTCTGTGTACCTTTGGTCTATGACATTCTTTTTGATAGCCGCATAGTATTCCATAACTCAGGTGATCTAAATTTATTCCATAATTTGGAAGCACTAAACTTTTGGCTGTTTTCCTATTTATAGACATTTATATTGTTTCTAACTTTGTAAAATAAAAAACATGCTGCAATTATTTTTAGAATTTGATGATTCTGAAGTCCATGTGGGAGAAAAACATGAAAGAATTGTCTAAAAGTCTTTTTTTTTTAAACTATTTTATTTATTTATTTGACAGAGAGAGAGCACGAGAAGCAGAGGGAGAGGAGGAATTAGACACCCCGTGGAAACAAGGAGCCCAATGCAGGACTCAGTCCCAGGACCTTGGGATCGTGACCTGAGCCAAAGGCAGACACTTCACTGACTGAGCCACCCAGGCATCCCAGAATTGTCTAAAAGTCTTAAAACACAATAATGGTGACATGGTGAGAGGACTTATTGTTTACTGAAACTTAGTATCAAGGAACTGAATTCAAAAGCCAGAAAATAATCCATTTGCTAAGAAGGACTTGGTCAATGAAACAACTCATCTACAAGTCAGTGGGGATGTTTTGGATTTACCAGCAACTAATATTAAGGTAATCATTCGAAGAAAATAAATGAAGCCCCTGTTATGTGTCCCGAGACAAATATAAATTCAATAGAGAAGAAATAAATGTATTCAAAGAAAAATGTAAGTTATGAATAGGGAAGCTTTGTAAGGAAGATAGAAACAAAAATATATAAAGGAAAAATAAAATACTGGATAAAATCATAAAATAATAAAGCAAAAAAAAAACCTTTGAATAAGAACAGGCAACTTAATTAAAAGAACAATTACAGACTGGAAGAAAAAATTTGCTACACACACAAAAGTGGTTAATCTTGTTAAGATACAAGTAGTTCTTCAAATTAATAATAACAATGTATATAACATGAGGAGAATTGATATTCAGGGAAATGAAAATAAAAGCAACAATAAAATAAAACTTTTGGCCCTTCAGATTGGCAAAAACGTAAGATCATGTTTGTGCCCAGTGCTCATGAGATTACAAGGAAAACAATACTCTCATATACCATTTCTCAAGAGCAGTGATGAGTCTGGAAATTTCTGTAAATTTTGGAAAAGAAATCTGGCTATATAACAGAAGTGTGCATATCATTGGATCTAACATCCTGTTTCTGGGAAATTGTTTCTCAGAAAATACTTACACGTGTATAATTATTCTTTTCAAACAGGAATTTGGTTTATTGTCTCCTGGATGAAATAAACAAGCATTCAAAAAACTAGGGTTCCTGCACACAACGCTGATTTCCTTTTGATGTTACAGTTTCTCTGTGCCAGGAAACCACAGAAGAAAAAAAATGTCACAAAGTGAGCCTTTGCTCTTATTATTCAATAGAGATGTTAGTAAGAAAGAGGGAGAAAGCTAAGGGAAGAAAAATGGTGATGTGAGGGATTGGACAGGAAGGGTTTGCAATGCAGCCAGCATCATTGACTGAAGCAGGTACTGGCCAAGTGAGTAAAACAATTCCTGCCCCCCACCCCCGCAGTTGGCAATTGCATGGAGAAAGATAGACGTGTGTACATATGAGGCAAGATACTAACAAAATATTATAATGAATTGGTGTTTGTCTGAATGGAGTTGATCAAATACGAGTAACTACTATTTTTTATGCATTTTGTTAGACGTCAAGATAAAAGGATGAAGAGAGACATGGCACATTTTATCATAAGAGAATCAATACCTTTTAAAAAAATTTTTTTAAAGATTTTATTTATTTATTTGACAGAAAGATCACAAGTAGGCAGAGAAGCAGCCAGAGAGGAGTGGGGGGAAGCAGGCTCCCTGCTGAGCAGAGAGCCCCATGCAGCTTCATTCCAGGACCCTGGGATCATGACCTGAGCTGAAGGCAGAGGCTTTAACCCACTGAGCCACCCAGGCGCCCCAATACCTTTTATCATGAGAGAACTGTATCAAAATAGATTCATATATCTACATCTGCAGATGTCTTAAAAGGAGAAACGGATAGTTGATTCAGTGTGATAAAGAAAAGGTCTAATCTCTACTCTGTTATCCTTAATATGTCTGATTCAGCATTTTTGCCCCCTAGATTCTCCTTAGAGATGTAAGACAGGGTCCCGTTTTTTTTGTCAAGAGGCCTACTTTCTGCACTTTTCCTCAGTCTTTTACTGGTTTTACTGGTCACAAGTACCAGGAACAAAGTGTCTGCTCTCTACTGAGTGTTTAGCAGGTCGAGGACTGTGCCAAGCACTTTAGGTAAGTGAACTCCTCTCATTTTCACCACTGAGGTTTGTATTTTCTGTATATTACAGATTTAGGAAACCTAGAGGCTCAAAGTTATGAATAGCTTGGGAGGGGCTCATACCACTATCCCATGGCAGAGATGGTCCTCAGACCCATGGGTGTGCAGCTGCAAAACCTATGATGTATTATTTAAGCATGTGGATAGTCTACTGTCTCAAGAAAGACTGTAGACCATTATGATTTTACCTGCATACTCACTTCTCTACTTCGTGACTTCTTATTTTCTTTTCTCCCCCTCATGACCAGATCTATAGATTAGGGTTAGTTTGCATGACTATTTAAATCAGGAACTAATGAACTAAATATTCTCCACTGCTCTTGGCTTTTAGAGGATCTAATATCAAAAATGCTATTTTAGGTTCAGGAAGGTAAAATAAAAATGAAAATATTTAGAAGTTGGTAAATTACAGGTCCTTTGTTAAAGGAAGATTGGATTTGCCTGTTTCTGCTAAAGAAAGACCAAAGACACACAATGCCTGACTGGTTTTGATGTCTATTAGATGGATGTCTCTTGAGAAGTTCAGATAATCTCTGATATTTATATAGTGGCAATCATATCCCTGGCACTTAGCAATAGCCAAGGAGAGATTAGATAAAAGACCCTTAAGAGATTAGTGTAATATAACCCAGACTTTGATGCATCTGTTCTCTGTTGGCCTTCGAAGTCAGACCCCACATTCCATTTTTCATAGTAAATCCAAGGTACAGTTTTAGGATCCTATACTATGATTATTTTTTCTAATCAGTTGCTCTTAATACTATTGTCTTGGTGCCTGGATCTTCCTTGGCATAAAGTTTTTAAACATTTAATTCAATTTTATTTTATTAATTCAATAAATTCAAAGGCTCTTTAATTATGTACCAAACTATTGAGAAGGACCTCTGTCTTAGCCACTTATGTAAAGAAAAAAAAAAGATTAATTAATTTCAACTCCTTATGCTCAGACTCTATCCACATTTTTCCAGAACACTCCATTTCTCTTCAACCCACTTCGTTTCTCTTCAGTCCACAGTAATTGGAGCAAAAGGGATGGTTAGTGATTGGCTGAAAGTGTTGGGATAAAAAGCAAGCCTTTCCACAGCCCTTTGATTATTTTTACAGATTGCCCAATGTTCCTTTTTAAAGACCACTACATTGCTTAAAAGCCCCAGACTGATTGCTTGTACTAATCCTAATGTATATCTAAGCATTTTGGCCTCTTGGCCCAGTTTCTGAGTTTGAAATTGAATGCATATTGAACCTTCCCAGGTTTCTTGCTCTCCCACTCCTTCTTACACCCATTAACACACATACACACAGGTTTTTTTGGTCAGTGTATGTTCCCTAAGGTTCAAAGCACCCCATTAAAACCCCCACACTCTTTCTTAACCACTACCACCCTTCTTGGTATCAAAAGGAATGCACTCTTTCCATAGGTTTTTCTTACATATGTTGTGTGTGTGTGTGTGTGTGTGTGCATGTGTGTGTGTAATATGTATGTATAATTATGTGATTACATATATATCATCAGCTTACAACCAGATTCTCTTATATAATATTTTTAGTTTTATGTCCAATTCATTATAATCTCAATCCATGTAGCACTTCCTATGTGAAACAATGTCTTTGATGAAAGATTCGACACGAGTTTTGGCATCCAGTTATATAATAGTAACTTTCAATCGGCCTGTTTTTTGCCATGGCCCACCTCTTTATTTTCAGTGTAACTATTAACTAATATTAGTCCAAAAAAAGTGAAGTTACTAAGAGGAATGTGAAATCACTAAAAGGAGGTTATTCTGAAAATTCTCTTTTTTTTCTTCTTTTGACGGAGAAAGAAGGTGAAAAGCTAAGATGCCTCCTCTGAGGTTTGAACTCAGGACCCAGATTCAGATTATGAGGCTGACATGCTGCCTACTGCACTGAGGAGGCTAGCTCGAAGCTCCTTTATCCGTGTACATCTCTCTGCTGACAGACAATAACAGCATTTTCTTTCAAAGACTGAAAACTGGTAGAACACTAGAATCATCAAGTTTCTTTTATTGTCTTCAAAGTACATTTCAGTGATGGCTCGAACTGTTGTTCAAAATCAAAGTCATTTTAATTATATACATGCAAATTTCTTGTGTGGAGATGCAGTACACCAAGGGAAAATTAACCACTGTTTTTACATGACCTTTCTCTTACATTAAGCTTCTTGTTCTTAAAGATCCAGGAAAGGACTGAGACCATAGTGGGGACATTTTTGGAAGGGGATGGATTGCAACATGTTTATTGTCCTGATACTTAATATTACTTCATTGTAAAGAATACAGTTCCCTTTTGTTCCTTATCCAGAGACAAATGATTAGCATTCTCTTGAAGACCAGTAGCTTGTAACTTGCTAATAGGGTCTGAGCTGAGCAACAATGCCATGCCAGGCAGGTTAGGTAAGGTAATTTCTGTAGCCTTCTAAACCTACTAGTAGTTTAGGATGCACATCTTCTCTGCTTTCCTTACTACCTAGTTAATGAAGATGTTTCCAGTCCTGGCAGGTAGAAGAATCACTAGGTGCCAATCACGGAAGCCAGAACAAAGAAAATCAGACTGGTGGACCTGGGTTGAATGAGGGAGGGAGATTTCTTTTTAACTTCTCTGCGGGGCCATATGTGTGTTAGATGGAATCTCAATGTGAAGTTGACTTCATGGATGAAGGACATTGATTTAAAAAAGACCATCTATTATTTAGTTTTCATACTTACACATGCTCAAGATTCCTCTTTTACTTTATAAAACGGCACCAATGACTTGCCTTTTAACCCACAGCTGCCTGAGATGTCATTTTGCAGTTACCAGTTTCATATTGTCCTGTGCTATATTCTCAGCATTGTTTTTTTTTATTTTTAATTTTTTATTAACATATAATGTATTATTAGCCCCAGGGGTACAGGTCTGTGAATCGCCAGGTTTACACACTTCAGAGCACTCACCATAGCACATACCCTCCCCAATGTCCATAACCCAACCACCCCCTCCCTTCCCCTCGGCAACCCTCAGTTTGTTTCACGAGATTAAGAGTCTCTTATGGTTTGTCTCCCTCCCAATCCCATCTTGTTTCATTTATTCCCTTCCTACCCTCCACATTGCCTCTCAACTTCCTCATATCAGGGAGATCATATGATAATTGTCTTTCTCTGATTGACTTATTTCGCTAACTCAGCATTGTTTTTTTAAGAGTTCTGAATTTAAAGTTAGTTTGGCAGTTAAGTTGTCCTATCAAAACCTATGCTATCCGGAAGGCGGGGAAGACTTGATTGTTCTGTTTGCAGAAAGAAAAAAAAAGAAGCATATGAGCATATCATTGTAGAGAATTCATACCTGCTCTGGAATGCCAAAAACAGAACACCAGGAATGGACCAAAGAGAGGAAAAAGAAGTTCAGTGCAAGTTGCTCAGGTTTTTTCTACTGAACTAGAGTGTAAGCTCCTGTAGGTCAGGAATTAGAATAATTTTTTTTTTTCTGTGTGTCTCTTTTAGAAGCTACTTAAAAGATGCTCTCTGTTTCATAGACCTGTAAAATGGCCCTACCCAAATCTGCCCTCACTCAAGTCCCTAGACACGCTTCTGACTGGGGGCAGAGGGCACACTGGACATCAAAGAGTTGCCAAAGTCTTTTCTGCTATGCAAGATGGAGGAGTTTTTGGTTCTTTGATCTCTGCTTCCATCCCCTCCCCCACCCTGCCACTACATGTACCTCAGGGTCGCTCTTCCTTGGCCCCACCCTGTGTCTCTGCTGTCCTCAGCGTCTTTCACAGAAGACCCCTGACATCCTGGTCTACATTAAGGAACAAAACACAACAAGAGTGAAAACAATCAACCTTCTAATCCAGACAAGCTGCTATCCTTGGCCTTTGGCTCCCTTATCTGAATAGAGAAAACATTTGGGGAAATCTTTCCAATCTCGGGAAAAAGTCAGAAAATGTTTCCCCCTCTCTTCATTTAATATAGAACCTAGATTCTATCGCTAGAGCGATCTTTGGCTCACCTGCAAAAAAAAAAAAACCAAGAGTGAACAATTCTGGGGAACCAGATCTAAAGTTTACATTCCTCCACCTATGTAAGTCTTGAAAATCAAATTTTAAAAATTAAGATGTAAGTCAATTGTCAATAAATATCTCCTGAAAGTGCAGCATTTAATTAACCACAATGTAGAAGCAAATGATGATTTCTTTTGAGAACAATGTGATAAAGTAATAGTCAAAAAGTACCCTAAATGTCAGAATCTCTAACACATTCAAATATGCAGTAAGAACAGTAGGAAATAAACTTCACTTCCATCAAGAAAGGTTTGGTCCAATATGAAATATTGTCTTCAATGTATGAGATGTTTTAGAATCTACTTTAATGAAAGAAAATAGATAATCACTGGCTTTGATGTTATAGATTTCAAAAGCCCAGAGGAAGAGAACTAACCCTCATGACCTTCTGGGGACTCTGCTCTGTATGGGAAGGTCAGTTGGGTCCTGGAATCAGCAGATGGTATCCACACTGGATTGATCCCTTAAGTCAAGGCTACCATATCACATCACTCAAGTCTGTTTTTGCTACATAGTAGTTGAATAACCTCATCATCAATACAATTCTCTAAAGGTAGGGCATCGATTAGCTTAATTTTTACTCAACTGATGTGCACTTCTATGTACCAAGTTCTGTGGTAAGTGTGAGGAATAATAGAGCAAAATTGAAGCATTCACACTAAATTGTATTTACAACTGCAGTTGCATCCTGTGGGTTTTTTTCCTATTATTATATGAGAATTAAAAGTTTCATAGAAGGCTCGTCATGTGGGACAATCGGTCTTCCTCTTAAGGAGAAACTGAAAAGTTTTCAATGGAGCTTTAAATACCCAGGCCTGACTTCTAAGCAGGGAGGTGTTTCAAATCAGATAAAATAGTAGAGTATATTCATTTCTAAATGAGTGTAAAGCTCTCTTCTTTGTCCCTTCATAACTACTCTGGTACCTTTCAGCCTTTAGATGTTGGTGCTCCCCAGAGTTTTACCTTTGGTCTTCAGGTAGAGGATAGAGAAATGTTCTTTCTTCTTATTCACCCATACCCCATCTGTTGGTACCTCAAAACAAATGGCTCAGATCTCAATGTGTACCTCTCATGTCCAGTTTGTCCCACAAATAGCAGCTCAACCCAATGCCTACCCTCACCACCCTGTTTAAAATGACAACTATTCACTGCCACTGCACAATCCCATTACCATTGCTCTATTTTCTCATAACATTTAAATATAAAAAAAAACCCAATGATTGCTTATTTTTGATGTTCTACCTTCTCCCCACCTGTTAAATAATATAAGCTCAAGGAGAGCAGGGATTTTGTCTGGTTTGTGTCTGGTGTATAGCAAACATCTCAGAAAAATTCCTGGTACACAGTAGTCCTTCAAACATATTCTTTGAACATATGAACAAAGCAACTCCAACTCCTGAATCGACTATTTTTAAGTGTCTTACTTCTTCATTAGGCTCAACGCTTAGGTTCCATATCTGACTCCTTTTTCATTTTTCCCCACTATCACTTGTGAGTCAACAGGTGTTGACTGTGCTGCATTAATGATGGCTCTCATATCCTTCTTTTGAATTCTGTTCCCACCACCAGAACCTCGTTGAAACTCTCAGTTTTGCTTTCCTGTTTGAACACAACAGCCTTCTAACTGGTTTCCTTTACTCTGGTCTTTCCCCTTTATAACTCATTTTATATATTGCTGCCTTCCTAAACATAGCCTTACTATGTGATAGCAGATCATAGATTCCTTCATCAAATATTTATCAAGAGCAAATATGTGCCAGGCAAGGACTGAAAAGACAGAATATCTTTTCATTTGAAGAGTTTATTTTCCCAGCTCATTACCCTTCAGTAACTCCTCATGGTCTGCAACATAAAGTCTGGCTATTATGTTGACATGAAAACTCTCCTCATTGATCTCATTAAATCTTCCCAAATTCATTCCCATTACAACCCTGTATGTATTCATGCACTAGTCAAATAATACCATATATGAGCAATCTTGTTCCATATCTCTGAGCTCACACTGGTTTATCCCTGTGTAATAAACTCTGATTGCCTCTGTCCTATAAGAATCCTGCACATATCCGATTCCACCACTTCCATGAAGTCTTTGATTAATTTGGAAATTATTTATCTCTGCTTTTCTTCTTGTCCATTTCTGCCCCTTTGAAAATACATATTATATAGTACTTTGTACGCTATGTATTAATCTACATGTCTTAACCTACCACAATGATTAGAACCTCCTTGAGGTCAGAGACCCTGCTTCAATCTTCTTGAACTTCCCACAGCACTTGGCCCCCTGCCTTGTACTTAGGCACTCAATAATGTTTATTGAATAGAAGAAATACAAGATATCCTTTATTTCTTCCAACCTATATTATACTGAATTTAAACTCAGTATTACTGATAACCACCTTCAAGTACATATTGCAGTATCCCTACCCAGATATCCTGACAAAAATTGTATTAGATTAAGAATCCAAGTTTGTAAGTCAAAAGATTTCAGCTTCATTCTAGCTTTATCACTTATTGTGTACTTTTTAAAAAGATAGATAGATTCATCGATTGATTGATTTTAGAGAGAAAGAAAGCAAATGGTGGGGAGGGGCAGAGGGAAAGAATCTTAAGCAGACTCCCCATGTAGCACAGAGCCCAATGACATGGGACTCAATTCCATGACCCTGAGATCATGACTTGAGCCAAAATCAAGAGTCAGATATTTAACCAACTGAGCCACCCAGGTGCACCACTTACTGTGTACTTTGAACAGTTACTTTTACCTCCATGTACCCAGTTTTTCTCATTAGTAAAGATGGGCAAACAATTAAGACCAAACTCCCAGACTTATTTAATACTTAAATGAGATTTATGAATA